TAGCCAAATCTTTGTGAATGACAATTATTTGAATGAAAATTGACATTGTTCTAAAATTTGTGAAATTCATGCTTTTTATATCCACATAAGTCTAGGGTCAGTCTAAAATTTGCTACAATTCATATTGTGATACCAGAATATTCAAATATCATGATTTATTCAAATGCATTATTGAGTTATTTTGTGACTAGCACTGAGAAGTCTAAAGGAGTGAACGAAGAATAATTTTAATACCATTAGTCTTGTAATTTACAAAACTTGATTTTAGGCCACCTGCTGGTTGTTATGGATATTACAACAGCAGGCAGTTCAGTTTTTTTTTTTGATAGACTACTTTATCAGAAGGGCCGGTCTGACCCAGAATTCCCGGGCCAAAAAATTGTCCCACTCCGGCCCTGCTTACGGGTCAAAACTTACGGTTACGATACATTTTTCATCTGACCCCTTTTTGGAGGGGCGGGCTCAGCGCGCCCATTGGCTGGAGAGACCGGATGTCACAAAAGCAAAACACACGCACGTTGCTACAATCTTTACAGTCTGGTTACTACAGAAGACGAAGAATAGGCTTCGGGCCATCTACGGAGACCTGCGTACATAAATGCTAAGAGCAAACTTCATAGCTGGTAAGTGTCTGTGTCCTACAGAAGCTAATATTGAAAGAGTCCAACCCATAAGTGATCACTTGGTTACATCATGTCGCTATAAGAAGAGAACCCGCTGTGACCTGATGTAATCATGATCAGTCAAGTTAAAGCCAGCTCACTTTTAGCGCCGCTGAAACAACAAACAGCTGACGTTGCTATAATGCTAACATTAGCTGTTTTGCTAAATAAGTAGCTAGGGAGGCTCCTTCGTTTTAGTCTGAGGAGAAACAGTCTTCAAATAACTAACGAAACAGTTGTTCATAAGTGAGCCTGTGTAGCCTTCTAGTCACAACAATACTGATACTGTGAGTGGATGAAGAGCACACCAATATTTTAGAGCTGTAAATCTATCTAAAATCACAAACTTGTCTTTTTACCATTGATACAAAGATAACTGGAGAACAAAAGTGATCAACCTGTATACAACTCAAAATGTAGTAACTTCTTATTAATGTGGCTTTTTCCCTTCATCAGGAGAACTGCGCCTTGCATCTGAGGAGGGGACTGCTGAGCTGAATGCATGGAGAGACGTGAAGTGGATTTGTGTTTTATTTTGTGCAGAGCTACTAGTAAATGTCACTCTCTGACTGGGAGCAACATAAAACTCAGTCCCAGAGTGGAAGTAGTTTTTTATATAATTAGTTTTCTTGACACTCACGGTTGCCTAACAACCAGGTAAAAAAAGTGTATTTTAAAAACAGTTAAAAGCATCATGGAGAGAGGAGAGTGTGGTTATGATGTTAGTGAGTGGGCTTGTCTAAACAGATGAGTTTTGAGGGTGGATTTGGAGAGGCTCTATTCCACATGGTGACAAGGCGGGCAGGAGGGACCAAGAGCTGGAGAGGATAGGAGGAGCGGAGGGAGCGGGCAGGTGTGGAGATCTGGAGGAGTTCAGTCAGGTATAAACACTGTATGTCTGGATGAGGAAGTTATAGATATTAGGCCAGGTAACAGATGGCCATTTACTCCTATCTACAACCCACTGTTCTGTGAGAATAGTGCTATTATATGTTTTTTTGATAGGCACAGAATTAAAAGTATTGATACAGGTGGCCGATACCATGTCCATAGGCTGTATAGCTAGCACTTAATTTGCAGACATGGTCCCTAAGACATGAAAATACATCACATTTATATAGATTATTATAAAACCACATCTTGCTGGTCTGCAATGTGTGGTGCTGGTGCCCATCGCAGAGATAACCTGCAAGATCAGAACTATACAGAGTTTCTGTGTGATTTTAGGGATGTTGCCATCCTAAATTAGCAAACACAGTACAGGTACAGTAGCCAAATATCGTAAATTTAATGGCCTTAACAGGTTAGCCCCGATTTGAGCTACTCAACATTAAGTTAATTTTGATAAGATATCATGAAGCCAATGAAACGTACTATTTAGCAAGTTTCACAGATTTGTTTAATCATTCAGCTAGTTACCTCATTTGTTTCAAAACTTTATGTACACGTTATGGACTGACAAGATTCATTGTTAGCTAGCATGGGCTCATTAGGTAAGCCGCTATAATTATGTAAATAATAAGCAAACAAAAAATCAAAGACATAGTTTTATTCACCTTTGATAGCAGTAGATAATCCTGACATGACAAAGCATTCAGTGTGAACAACGTACAGTGGAAGGTCCCGAGATGTAGCTTAGTTGGCTAGCCTTGGGGCAACATAGGCATATGACGTTATTACGAGAGCATATTTCACACGATCTAAACATGACCTGGTATAATTAGTAGTGATGTGCTGAGCGGACCGAGTCTTCGAAGCGTGGACCGAGTAATCTGGGGGCGTTTCTTGTGAAGTGTGGGTCGAGGCGTGTATTGGTCACGTGTGTGGTGACGTTCGAAGCCTCGCGTAGCGGCCGCACCACGTGACGGTTCATATAGTGCTTCATATAGTTCGGAGAGTGCATTGCTTTGACAGGTGCTTTGTGATCCGCGGCTGTACCATAGACTGTATTGGCTGTCCCCGTCTGCCTCTGTGTGCGTACGTGTGTGTGCGTGTACGTGTGTGTGCGTGATGTGGAGCAGTCCTGTACTAAGTATAGAGAAACTACTTCATATGAAATACAATTTAAAACTTTTCACTTTAGTAAAACCTCATATATCAAGGCTTCAAGTTATTAGTAATAATACGCTGGATAATACATTTCACAACAGCTGTGTGGCGCAGTTGGTATATGACGGACTCCGAAGCAGAAGATATAGCGTTCGAATCCTGGTCTACCCATAATAAATTTTGTGTTGCAAAGTAAATGTATTTATTTATTGGGAATAAATGGTTTGTTGTGTTTAATTAATCCACCTCTTGGTAGTTTTTCCTCCATTAATCACTTTCTGTAGAACTGTATTACTTTGGATGTGTTTGTTGTATCAACACAATTGACTGAAAGACTCAAATAGTTCATGAAGCATCATTTCAAACACAACACGTTAGACCATAGATTGTAAATATACATTTTAACATTAGATCTCACCATTCATTGTAAGCACTTAAGAGTGTTATGTATTTTTTTGTCCACATGATGGCGTAGTGGAGCATGATTCACCTTGAGCCTTCGACTCATGGGCCGAGTAATAGGCTGCGATCCCTCAAGGCTTCCTGGGGCTTCATATTGCCATCACTAGTAATTAGGGTGTCCACAAGAGTGCACATACCACGTGAAAGCCTATAATAGCCAGCCCAGTTGAAAAAATGTGATCAATCATACGATGTAGAGAGTTCGAACGAGACTTGAATTTTGAATGGTGTGTTTTGCTTTTGTGATGACGTAACATCCGGTCTCTCCAGCCAATGGGCGCGCTGAGCCCGCCCCTCCAAAAAGAGGTCAGATGAAAAATGTATCCAGTGTTGCCAACTTAGCGACTTTGTCGCTAGATTTAGCGACTTTTCAGACCCCTATAGCGACTTTTTTTCAAAAAAGCGACTAGCGACAAATCTAGCGACTTTTTCTGGTGTTATTGGCGACTTATCTGGTGTTTTGGCGACTTATCTGGTGTTTTGGAGACTCGTGAAGCACGTATTGTTCTGCTGTCCTCAACGTGAGCCCCTCCCCCGTCCCAAAGCACTTACAGGCGGCCAGTCTCACAGTAGCCTTGCGCAGCAGTCCCAGCTACAGTCTATGGGCGGAGCAGAGAGAGAGAGAGGAGACTCAAAAGCACAGGAAGTTTTCAGGCTGCTGCAGACTGAACTTCAGCTCCACCACCACCACACATCCAAAGCTCCCCGGCCACTCCTACCACCGCCACCCCCCACTACCCCCCACTCCATCCGCGGCAGCTCTGTCCGTGACTCTGTTTTCTCTCAGTAGTGGGTCACATTAAATCATTTGTTATGCCAAACTATGAAAAAAAAAAAAAACTTACAAAAATAAACCTAAGTAACTCTGCCAGAGTGTGTCTTTTGGGTCACTTTGCCGGTCCCAAGCCCGGATAAAGGAGGAGGGTTGGTTGTAGAGCTAGCAATTTCACCCTACATAACAATCTTTTGATTACATTTGCTGTTATAACATTTAACAATACAGGACAAAACTGATGTGTGTAATGTGGATCTAGACAAAGCATTAAAATCATTAAATGTTGTTAATGTTGAAATTATTTTTGTACATTTGTAGTTCTAAACATATTTAGGGTGTTTTTACTCACTTTTGTCTCTCCCACGACCTTATTCCTCTCTCCTACAGCGTCCGTTACAGTTATTTGCAAATGGCAAATGACGTCATTTAGCGACTTCTAGCGACTTTTGGGACAGCCAATAGCTACTTTCCTTACTGAGGAGTTGGCAACACTGAATGTATCGTAACCGTAAGTTTTGACCCGTAAGCGTAGCTAGTGAATCGTAAACGTAACTTGTGAATCGTAAACGTAACTTTTGAAGCGAAACATGAAAAATCAGAACCTTAAATGTAAGTTTTACATTTTTTCATTTACAATATATTTTGAATGTTTACAATACTTACAACCTACGATTACAATTCCTGCTTTACGGTTACGCTGCAGTTTTTTCGTTTACAATATTTTTTTATGTTTCCAATACTTGCTTTACGGTTACGTTTAAGCAGACCCTATTTCGACGCCATAGTCGCTGCGTTGACAAAATGTAACTTTTATTTTGAAAGACTTCCTCGGATGTAACACACATTTATCCCCTCCGACTTGACCGTGGTCCACACACCGCACCCAGCCTGAAGCTTCCACAGCCTCAGCCTCCAGCCTGTAGCCTCCATCCTCAAGCCTTCCCAGCCTTAGCCTCTCTGGGCCCAGCAAGCAGACATGTAATGCTAGTGGTCAGCCATTCCTCGTGTAGCTCACCCAGGCGCATTCTAACACCACAGCTCCACATACAAAAATGGCCAAACAATACGACGTGCTGTTCCGCCTGCTGCTGCTGGGAGATTCTGGTGTGGGGAAGACCTGTTTGTTATGCAGATTTACAGATAATGAGTTTCACCCTTCTCACATTTCCACTATCGGTAAGTGCTCCCTCCGCACGGGTTAGGGTCAGCTCATTTAGCAGCATGTTTATGCTGCTGCTTCTTCTGATGTTCTTCTGGGGTCGCGGTCGCTGTGTTCAGTTTCTTTAATCAAGAGCATGTGATGACGTAGAGTTTGTGTGTGTGTGTGTGTGAATTATTTTTAATTCGTGTTTGATTTTACCTTGACTCATTGGAATTGTGAGTAAAACACTTCACTTCCTGTCGCAGATGTGTGACTGCAGAGACACTGTTTCTGAAGTGTAACCCAGAGACAGACCAGAGTGAGAGATCAAAGCAAGAGAGACCAGAGAGAGAGACTGGTGAGAGAGACCAGAGAATTATCATAGAATATAAGAAATAAAATAAAAATACGTAAAATATTGAAAACATAGAGAAAAGGAAAATACTATAATATTGTATTTATTTTTGTCAGTTTATTTTTCTATTGTTTTCTGTTAATCTATTTTTTGTAAAAGTGGAAACATATCTTGAATCCTAATAAACGGTTACATGACATACATCGAAAGACACAACAGCAACAGGCAGAAGGAAAAGGAATATGTGTTTAAGTTTCTATTTTGTGGTGATCAAAGCGGTGCTGTTTTTAGAGAGAGCTGTCAGCGTCACACAGGATTCGGGTCTAACTCTGCTAATTAAAAGAGACTAGAGTTAACCCCAAACTAGGGTTAACTCTTACCCAGTCTCAGAGGGTTAGGTTTCAGATAATTTATTTATCACAAATATACTTCTATCTTCAGCATGTGTCAATGTAAGTCTAAGTCTAACAGACTGTGATCATGATAATACATTCTTATTATCTGAAGCTTGTAAGACACCAGATGGAGGTGTTTCATGACTCAAGATGCTTATGTATCCATCATACATGTTTTATATATACAGTAATCCCTCTCTCTGCTCGGGTCCTCTTATTAGGTCTGTGAGCTTGAGGGTTCTGCACGTTCTCTTTGCTGTTCCTAGCACTGCACATTTCTGGACTGAGATTTTCAAGGTTGTATCTGGTATCTGCTGTAACCACTCTTCCAGATAGGGGATCACTGCCCTGAGTACAACGATCGCCTCTCTCACGACTGTCATTTTTGCCCTGAGGGCAAAATAGACAGTATTGAGAGAGGAGGGCCAGTCTCAGGGGTCAAGTTTACTTTAGTGAAACTTCTTCTGTTTTTGTTCCAGGAGTCGACTTTAAAATGAAGACACTGGTCATCGACGGCATCAAAGTGCGGATTCAGATCTGGTCAGTTTGTGATGTTTGTTTGTTAGTAATGTGTGCTTGTTTGTTTACTTGTGTGTATTCCTGTTTCAGGGACACAGCAGGACAGGAGCGGTACCAGACCATCACCAAACAGTACTACAGACGAGCACAGGTACAAGTTTAAGTTTGTTTATTAAAGGACAATGTGCAGTTACATTAAAAAGATGGCTGCACCAGATGTCATGTGACATCAGCCATAGAGAGTACTTACAGTATATACACTTGTACGATCAGTCGCAGTCACAATGCTCTACAAGTACAGAGTTCAGTTCCGTATGAAATAGTGAGTTCAAAGAGAAACCAAAACTTAAATTAGGACTGTTATTGTATTTGTAATTGTAACAACCAAACATCAAATCATCTTTTTTTAACTCATAAACTGCATAAATATGTGTCGTATAGTGCTCTCTACATGTCCTGGTAATTTTTTTTGACATTATATTGCAAATTAGATAAAATCTCACTTATGAGCTTAAAACCTCTCTACATTTTGGGTGGCACTACATTTGAATTTGGTGCCTGGCCTCTCCATTGGCTCTGGAGTGCAAAGTGACGTTGCTTAGTACAGTCTGACGTAGGTCTCTTTGTGCCTGCGCATCAAAGTCTCACACGTTTGTAGCGAGTGTTCTGGCAACATCTAGTGGCCACTACTATTGAGATAATTCCATGGCTTAGGTTCAGCTGTCTAGCTATACAATTATCTTAGTGTGTAAACAAAAGTGGAATGAGAATGTCTGGTGTGTAAACTGTTGCATTAAGCCAGAAATTACAACTGTCTGATTTTGTGATGGACAAGCGAGCTGTCAATCACAGCCCAGACCACGCCCAACTCTAAGCCGCCCTTGTCCCCTGGTTCTCCAGGCAACGTCCTGAGAACCAGGGGACAAATGTTTTTCTAATGTTCATGTGGGTAGAGTAAGGCTAAGCACAAGTGTTTAGTTTTCCTTTAACACTAGGACCGCCTTGCTCTAAACATATCATACACCGCCCCCCTGCAGGTGTCCTCGGGTGACAAGAGGCCTCCATCCGTGCTCCTGCCTTGATCGTTTATCTATTTGTTCTATTTTATTGCGATTTTGTATTCTGCTTTATTGTCATCTTGAATGAATACATATAAGAATGTAATTGATGATGAATGAAAAGGCAGAATGGAGCAACAGCGCGCACACAGACACCTGCGTATAAGTAGCATTACGCGTGCTCATGTGTGTTATTGCTTCTGGACTTGTTACAACACACTGCTGTTCGTGCCCTGAATGTACTATGGGTTAATGTTCAGATTTAGAATATATGTTTTTACTCATAGCACTTTGAGATCTGATTTTCAGGTGTGAAGCGCATTATAAATAAATTATGAACTACTCTTTGTCTGACCCGTCACCTAGGACCTATTTGCCATGGGAGACCCTATCAGAAGCATAAAGCTCCAGATTTGCGCTGGCAAAAGTGAATCAAACATGCTCAAACTGATTATAAAACAAATGACAGGAAAATGTGCACAACCAAAAGTGTTTATAACGGCGCAGAACTGATTGAGAACAAAACGTGCAAAATGATAGAACATTAATATTGATAAAACATTGAGGCTATTTACAGTGGGGCAAAAAAGTATTTAGTCAGCCACCGATTGTGTAAGTTCTCCCACTTATACAGTGCCTTGCGAAAGTATTCTTATAGTATGAACCTTTCAACATTTCGCCACATTTCAGGCTTCAAACATAAAGATATACAATTTTATTTTTTTGTCATGAATCAACAACAAGTGGGACACAATCGTGAAGTGGAACGAAATTTATTGGATAATTTAAACTTTTTTAACAAATAAAAAACTGAATAGTGGGGCGTGCAATATTATTCGGCCCCTTTACTTTCAGTGCAGCAAACTCACTCCAGAAGTTCAGTGAGGATCTTTGAATGTGTTGCTTTTACGCCAAACATATCGTTTTGCATTGTGGCCAAAAGGTTCGATTTTGGTTTCATCTGACCAGAGCACCTTCTTCCACATGTTTGGTGTGTCTCCCAGGTGGCTTGTGGCAAACTTTAAACAAGACTTTTTGGATATCTTTGAGAAATGGCTTTCTTCTTGCCACTCTTCCATAAAGGCCAGATTTGTGCAGTGCATGACTGATTTTTGTCCTATGGACAGACTCTCCCACCAATACTTTCGCAAGGCACTGTAATAATGACAGAGGTCTGTAATTTTCATCATAGGTACACTTCAACTGTGAGAGACAGAATGTGAAAAAAAAATCCAGGAATTCACATTGTAGGATTTTTAAAGAATTTATTTGTAAATTATGGTGGAAAATAAATATTTGGTCAATAACAAAAATTCAACTCAATACTTTGTGTAAGGTGACAAAAGAGAGCATGGCATGGAGCATGGACAGAGACTGACCCCGCCAGAACACTAACCAGCTTAAGATAAGACTTTGGGAATGTCCATCCCAGAGCAGACATCTGAGACATAAAGAGGTCGAATGGAGGACTATCATCAGTCACAAAGATACCAAACTTCAAACCGGAACTAATTATTAACGCTCGAAACAAACATCCTCACCTCCCTCTCTGGCGAGATCAAAGGTCACGTCGGGTCTGGCTAACCTCTCCCAGGCAGACTGGCGATCCACCAATGGCGTTCTGACGCCTCCCAGTGGGCACGGGACGCTAGCACACCCGAGATGGACAGTCAAAACCACCGCTCCGCGGAGTCATTATTCTGATAACCTTTACTGTGCCCTACATGGGTGTATCATCGTCTGTAATGTAAATGCGTTGTGTGCCTGTACATGTGTTATAAATGTCGGTATTAATCCTGCATATGCCGTTGTAACATGTCTGTTGTGAAGGATGTCCAGGGAGACGCACAAAGATGACGTCATAGACGCGCCTCCTTTGACTGGAATACAAAAGCACACGCAACCCAGAGAATCTTCCTCTTGGTATTCCTGTAATCAACGTATCAACCCAGGTATGCGTCTCCTACGCAACCTCCGGCCTGCAACAACTTAGGCCCCTATACATCCACGAGGACAGCCCACGACCTGCTGTCGGAGACCCCGAACTATCCCCACCAGCCACTTTCCGGCTCTCTGGACGCCTACGCATACAACGCTTTTCTAGACGGCGTGCGTGTGTGTGGATCTAAGTTGGACCGGACCTGCTGGCCCTCTGTGTCTCCCTCCTGCCCGAACAAAGGAGCACGTGGACTGCCCATCCCCTTCTTTTCTTCATACCCCATTCTTCAATACGGACTACGTCAAAGTAAGACTGTTCTAATTGCCACGTTAGTGTGTAATTTATGTGATATGTTTAACATCTCTGTTTAATGTGACCAAACCCCTCCTCGTTGATATTTTTCTATTTTTGTATGTAGTCAATAAACCCACGATAAACTTAAGTCATCGTCAAAGTGTCTTTTTACCAATCTTTTGATATCCCTGGCTGATTTCGTACTCAACGCCTATCAGATTGTGAGACTGATCGAGGCAGATTAGTTTGGATCTGTTGCAGACTTTCACTGTTCTGCTGGTGCCCCTCTAAATAAATTCAGGTCCCCCTCTGTGGAACGGCTAGACTCTGATCTGGAGCCTAGACGCTCCACACTACTATTTTCTTACCCTACATTTGTAATATAACCTTTGTTGGCAATAACAAAGGTCAAACGATTACTATAGGTCTTTTCCAGGTTTGCACACACAGTAGCTGGTATTTTGACCCATTCCTCCATGCAGATCTTCGAGAGCAGTGAACAGACTTTCAACTCCCTCCACAGATTTTCAATGGGGTTGAGGTCTGGAGACTGGCTAGGCCACTCCAGGACTTTCAAATGCTTCTTACGGAGCCACTCCTTCGTTGCCCGGGCGGTGTATTTGGGATCATTGTCATGCTCGAAGACCCAGCCACGTTTCATCTTCAAAGCTCTCACTGATGGAAGGAGGTTTTGGCTGAAAATCTCACAATACATGGCCCCATTCATTCTTTCCTTAACATGGATCAGTCGTCCTGTAGCAGAAAAACAGCCCCAAAGCATGACGTTTCCACCCCCATGCTTAACAGTAGGTTAACAGTTGTGTTTATACCAAACAGTTCTACTTTGGTTTCATCTGACCACATGACATTCTCCCAATCCTCTGCTATATCATCCATGTGCTCTCTGGCAAACTTCAGATGGGCCTGGACATGCACTGGCTTCAGCAGGGGGACACGTCTGGCACTGCAGGATTTGATTCCCTGTCGTCGTAGTGTGTTACTGATGGTAACCTTTGTTACTTTGGTCCCAGCTCTCTGCAGGTCATTCACCAGGTCCCCCCGTGTGGCTCTGGGATATTTGATCATCGTTCTAATGATCATTTTGACCCCACGGGATGAGATCTTGCAATCGAGGGAGATTATCAGTGGTCTTGTATGTCTTCCATTTTCTGATAATTGCTTCCACAGTTGATTTCTTCACACCAAGCTGCTTGCCTATTGTAGATTCACTCTTCCCAGTCTGGTGCGAGTCTACAATTCTTTTCCTGGTGTCCTTCGACAGCTCTTTGGTTTTGGCCATAGTGGAGTTTGGAGTCTGACTGTTTGAGGCTGTGGACAGGTGTCTTTTATACAGATAACGAGTTCAAACAGGTGCCATTAATACAGGTAACGAGTGGAGGACAGAAGAGCTTCTTAAAGAAAAAGTTACAGGTCTGTGAGAGCCAGAGATCTTCCTTGTTTGAAGTGACCAAATACTTATTTTCCACCATAATTTACAAATAAATTCTTTAAAAATCCTACAATGTGAATTCCTGGATTTTTTTCACATTCTGTCTCTCACAGTTGAAGTGTACCTATGATGAAAATTACAGATCTCTGTCATTATTTTAAGTGGGAGAACTTGTACAATCGGTGGCTGACTAAATACTTTTTTGCCCCACTGTACATAATATACAAAGTCTACACTTCAGACAACGAGGTTCTAATTGGACCACATATTTGCCACAGGTCCGCTTGCACCCACTGCAGACCACTTTGGTTCAGACATATGTGGAAGATTAACCACACAGAGACGGGATCGTGGCACACCAGAGCTCCTGGAAGTTTATTCAGTTTCCTTCAGGTTTCAGTTGTTTCAGT